CTCCCATGGACACACTGAGGTAACTACTCCCCGGGGTTATTCCCTACTCCCATGGACACACTGAGGTAACTACTTCCCAGGGTTATTCCCTACTCCCATGGTTCCTGTCTTTATGCTGCACCCCCCCCCCTCCTGAACTGGCTCCTCTTCTTCCTGCTCAGTTCCATACATCTGTGTTTTAAAACACACACCATGCTAAATCCTGTTTTCTTGGTTAAATGCCCTTGTAATTTATCCTTAAACTGACCCTGTTCTCCAAATCATTACAGCAAGACGCTTGGTAAAATAAAGGTTCCAAGTTCTAGATGTCAGATACCCAACAGGCATCAACAAAACAAAACAAAACAACCAAGGAGTGTTTCTAATGGAAAAGCTGGGTCGAGGACTGCGTGGCTGTGGCGCTGTGGCTGGAACCCAGGGCCTTATGTTTGACAGACAAATGTCCTACCACTGAGCTACAGCTCTGCCTAAGTGGTTTTAATGCTCAAAGGAAATGAGAGCTGGGATCTAGCTCAGTGCTAGAACACTTGCCTGTCATGCATAAATCCCTGGGTTCCTTCCTAACCTCTGGAGAAAAAGCACCTGAATTAGTTTAAATGAACAACAGGGCTGGAAGTCAATCCCCAGTAGTCTGAGGGGGCTGCTGGAGTATGGGGAACCTCACAAGGACCACGGGCCACTGTACAATCAACACAACCTTTCCACTCTGCTCAGGATACATTAACCGTCGTGAGAACATAAGCTCCCTCTGCCCTCTTCACCAGCACTGAAGACTGGAAGAGCAGAGCCACCTGGTTGCCTTCAGCCTCCAGACACCTCAGCATCCCATACAACCCAGAAAACATGCCGACTCTACATGAGAGGGCCCAGAACAATCCCATGTCTTAAGTTTACAGTAGAAAAAGGAGGTTACTAAGGACTAAGGAAATCTCTGACTTCTTTTGGTGAGATTAGAAACTGACATGTTTTCCTGGGTTTACAAATGGCTCAATATTCACACTGATGAACAATGTATTAGGCCTTCAGCCATGGCTGGCAACTAGGAAGTTCCAAGTACGCCCACGTCATGTCATGAACAAAGATGTCCTATTCTCAGCACAGACCCCATGAGCATCACATGGCTGGGTTAAAAAGATGGGTTCCCAGGAGCTGGAGAGATGGCTCAGTGTTTAAGAGCACTGGCTCCTCGAGAGGACCCACATTCGGTTCCCAGCACCCAATGGCAGTTTACAGCCATCCATAACTCCAGCGTCAGGGGTCCAATGCCCTCTTCCGGCCTCTACTGGCACTGGGCACACATGTGGTGCACAGGTATAAATGTCATCCAAACATTCATTCACAAAGACTTAAAACTGAATTAAAAAAGAAACAACGGGCTCCTGATGCAAGAATTTCAAAGAGTGACAGAGAGAAAACCGCCATTTTCAGTATTTTTTGTTTCTCTGTGTGAGATGTAAAGAAAGGAAACGGCTGAGGGCAGCCATGACACACCCGTCCTCCTGGTGCTGTCCATCAGTGTCAAGAGTAGCTACTGAGCACCTGAAACAGGGCTCAGATGAATGAAGAACATTAAATCAGATTAAAATTTAGTGAAGAGAAAACGTGAAAACTGAGCCAGACGGTGGCGCACGCCTTTAATCCCAGCACTTGGGAAGCAGAGGCAGGTGGATCTCTGTGAGTTCAAGACCAGCCTGGTCTACAGAGTGAGTTCCTGGACAGTCAGAGCTACACAGACAAATCCTGTCTTCCTGTTTTGGAGGAAAAAAAAAATTCAAACTGTTCATTCAGACTGAACTTTTACAAAATGTTCTGGAACAATCTGGGCAATTTTTCAATTGTAAGTATTATGAATTCCTAAAGATGATCAAGTCGTTCAATGAAAATTTAGTATCCTACTCAAGGTATCTAGTTAAAAGGCACTCAAGTTAGTCCAAAGAGAGGTCACAATCAGCTGGGCATAGTGGTACACACCTTTAATCCCATAATCCCACCACATGGGAGGTTGAGGCAGGTGGATCCAGGCTAGCCCGATCTACATAGCAAGTTCAAGCGCCAGAGTTACACAGTGAGACCTTGTCTCAGAAACAAGAGAGTAGGGTCACAATCAATATCAAGATTTTAAATTAGAGGTTATTATATAGAAATAATAATACTCAGTTATATTTAGTGAACAAAACACTGGATCAAAAACAGTGTCAAAATGACTTTCATCTATGATTTCTTTAGAAAAAATCTGGCTATTTAGAGAAAAAAGAGGCCATGAATTTGAAGGAGAGCAGGGATGGGTATGCAGAAGGGTTTGAGGGCGGGAAAGATGAGAAATGTAAATCTCAAAATTTCAAAATCTTGCTATTAAAATTAGTATGTGGCTTGCACTGTTTCCATTGGACAGTACTGATTCAGACAAAGGCTTAAAAGAAAAAGTTTCCTTTAAAATACACGGTGTGGCAGTTCATCGGCCACACTTCCAGTGCTATATAGTATGAAGTCCTTTGCACAAATCCAGTAGACAGCACGTGGGAAATGCTAGGGGTATTTCAAACAACTACAACAAATGTCTAATAAAACACAGAAAAGCCTGTAAGAGCATGCTTAGAAATGTTAGAGTAAAGGGCTTTTTTAATAGCAACAATTTTTAAAAAACAAACTTCTATTTATTATGAACACTCTGCTCTCGCCATGCCGAAAGAATACATAATTAGCAGTGTGAGTAATTAGCTAGCTGGTGACCAGATGGCATGGGTGAAGGCCAGCACCTAAGGAGGAGGTGCGGATGGCAACGGCAGGTGTCTAACCAACAAGCCCGGGAATGCCAGCACCACCAGTTACAGCATCATGTGAATTCAGCCCACTGCACACACAATGCAGAGATGAAACATGAACGTAACAGACTGCCCACTGTCCTCCAGAAGAAAGCAGAGCTAGGGGAGGGGGGCCCTGTGCACGGCCATCACCCGCCACCCCTCAGCCCCTGCGGCGCAAGGCCTACCTGTAACAGACACTCTCGGTGCAGGGGTTGTGAGCCCGGACAACGACAAACACGTGCTGAAAGTGAGAGCGGATGGTTTTCGGGCTGAACGGTTGTGCCCCAGGCTCTTGGAAAACTATCGTCACAATGTCATTTCCAATGTGCCGCTTCCTCAGGAGCTACAAGAAAACAAGCAAGCACCAAGCTAAGTGCCAGCACCTGGAGACCCCTCCACCATCCTGTACTGCAGGCATCTATCCCATCAGCATGTACCAGTGCAGGCCTTTTTGAGCCTGTCTTAGCATCCTCTCCAAGGAGGAACATGGAAATGAATATTCTAAAATCTGTATGAAGGATACAGCCATTCAAACAGAGCTAACTAATATCTGGCATGTCCAAATCCTCAGTTTCTATAGCAACAGCTGTGTTCCGTTTTCAGATAAGAAACTTGCCATTAGGAAAGATTTTTAGAGATGAGGAATGGCTGAAGTAATTACTACACAATCACATCATGGTCCTTTACAGAAAATGTGGTGAAGGGGTTTCCTGGTAGACAGTTTGTGTCCCAAGATGGGGACATAGAAATTAGTACTATTCCACAAATAGTAACAATTTAAGGGCAGGTTAGGTTTCAGGTTTGAACAGGTTCCTTAATTATAGAGAGCCCCTTTAGACCATCTTCTGATTCATGTTATACACACTCGGTCATGGCTGCCAAATTCAGGAACCTCAAGCCATTCTAGGGCCTTCTGAGTGGCTTCTAAGAGGGTGTGATTATCTCTGGGAGGTCTGTGCTTCTCATCCTTGCTCTATGGAACTTTCAAAGAGTAAAACAAGTAAACACGGTATCAACTAACTATGCTACACACAAACCTGAGCTCATGCAACTTACTTTTCTATTGAAATTCTCAGGGACATTAAAGCATGCAAATTAGATAAAACCAATAACTGTGCTGGGTGCCAGCTAGGGGATGCAGTCTTTTAGATTCAAGTTAGAAATATAGAGAGAAATGTACTTTAAAAAAATGTGTATTATTTTATTTTTGGTATGTGTGTTTTGCCTGCAAAGGTCAGCAGGGGGTGTTGGATGCCTTGGAACTGAAGTTACAGATCATTGGAAGCCACCAAGTAGGTGTTTGGAACTGAACCTGGATCCCCTGGCAGGGCAACAAGTTGCCGAGACAATTCTCAAGGCCTGGGAAGCACACTTTGAATGTAAAGAATTTGAAAGCATTCTGAACTGTCTTCCACTGAGGCAGTTTGCTTCATTTCTCAGCATCAAATACTATAAAAAGAAAGCCTGATTTGAATTGATTGCTATACAGAACATAGCAATCAAAGTTTATTAATACAGTGAGATCATGAATAAAAACAAACATCACCTCTCTATTTCTACACAGATGTCATTATCTCTTTTCTGCAAAATCATTCTTCAGTATGTCTTGATATATGGAATCCATGTTTTAATAAAGGACTCAAATCCATCTGCCTTATAGTAAATGTAAAAAATTGTATTTTCATGTTTAAATGCATGTTAACTATTTTGAAAAGATATGCTCTTTAAATATATTTCTAAGTAAAAAGTTATTTACATATAAGAAAACAAATTAATTAGCTATAGAATGAAAAATTCTTAGTATGTAGCAGTAAGATTACTTTCCCATTTTAATTTGGAATTGTAATATTTTTGCCTTTATTGATTCCCCAAATTAAACTATGTTTAAAGTTGTCCACTGAAATGTTAACTTACTCTACCCAGCACTTCAAAAACTAAACCTGGTACTGAATATGGTACCCTGACAAATCTCATGGTTTTCTTCAAAGTGACCAGATAGTACAGGTCTTTATCTCCTCAAAGATCATTCATTAATGTTCTGCTGATTAGTCAGAATGAGTTTACTTTCTCTCTTAGAACGGTGATTTCCACCTAGAAGTCTACACACTGTCCACAGGCTGATCAGAGCTCATCATCAGATGGGCTTACTGCAGAATTACGGCTGCTCATCGTTTTGTTTCTAGTTTCGAGTACTCTGGTACTCGGGAAAGTACTGTTACTTGGGCTTGTGACTGACCCCAAGCGGTGGCAAGCAGTGGGGTGGGAGGTAGCTGAGTGATGGGCTGGTATCTGGGAAGGACACTGATTCATTCTGCAGCGGGCCCTGCTCTCAGCACAGTGGAGAAAATAGGAAAATATCCACACCCCTGCAAAGTCAGAAGTGACACTGGACCAGTTTACAATAGGTACAGAAGGAGAGACTGTCTACTCTTGGCTTCCCAATTTCAGTCTGGCACCATTTAGTTTGAAACACTTTTCCAAACTGTAACTGCCATTATTGTCCAGACAACATTAGTTTCCATTTCCTCCATGGAAATCTGCAGCCCCTGTCTCTTCACTTCGCTTTCTCACAGTCTGGGGCTGGGGCTGTGCCCCTGACCTCTGCAAGACTTTGCACTTGGCATTACTGATGCTATTTCCTTGCCGTTTCCTGATGAAGGAGGGACATGGCTCTGGATCCCACTGACGCTTTCTCTGCCATTTCTCCCTGTTGTGTTCAATTCTCCTTGGACCCAGATGAAACATTAGTACTTCCCTGTTTTAAGCACTGCCCTCTGAGGAGAATCTTCATCCACTTGTGTAGATCCTCTGCAACCCTGCAGAGTCATCCAATCACCGTGATTTCAACTTCTCTTCAGAGTGCATGAGAAGCTCAATGCCCAGTGTGCAAAGCAAATGATTAATTCACAAAGCTGTCCAGCTGCCT